GAAAAAGTGTGCTCTCCAGGGACTTCAAGAGCAAACCATACTAGAAGTGGAAGGAAAGCCCCCTACCTCTTCCAAAACCTCTTGAGCACCCTCTACTGACAAGGCTTAACATCTTGCTGGCTGACAGAGAGCTATTACAAGAAATAGCTCCATTATCACAGAGCAGGCCAAAGATGAATTTGGAACTGAGGCAATAAAATTAGTAACAAGCACAGTGGGATCTGTCTTGTTTTACATATTAGAGTTTCTAATTGCTATGTCTTCAGGGTCAGTAATGTTTTCTTCTGCAGTGTCTGATCTGCTCTTAATCCCAGTTTGTATAGTTTCATCTCACTTTTTTTAATCTCTAGAAGTTTTAAGGTTTTCTTTATATCTTCCATATCTCCTTCATATGCTCATGCTTTCCTCTACCATCTAATATATGGAATATAACTGTTTGAATGTCCTACTATCATCTATCATTTCTGGATCATTTCTTGGCCTGTTTCTGGATTTTTTCTCATTATGCCTGGTAATTTTCAGACATTGAGAATTTTATCTTTCTGGGTGCTATTTTTTATATTTCTTAAAATATTCTTGAGCTTTATTCTCAAGCAAAATTACTTAGAAATAGTTGGAGCCTTTCAAAACTTGCTTTTAAACTTTGTTAGTCAGGATCAGCCATCCTTTATTCTAGGGCTACTTTGGCCCAACTTCTAAAGCAATGCCTCAGTATTCTGGGTACTCTGAGTCAAGAGAACTGTTTTAGGCCTATCTACAATAGACACTTTAGACATTCAGGGGTCAAAGATTGTGAAATCAACCATAGCCTTCTTACCCTAACTAGCATCATCTAATAACTGGTTACCTGGTATGTATGTTTTCAATATAAAGTATAAATTTAAGCAGAATGGCTCCTAATGCAGACTTTGCTTCATCAATTTCTCTATGTCTCCCCATCTCTGATTCAACCCCTCCCATTCCACAAGCTAGTTCCCTTCAGCTAAAAAACATGTTTTCCTTGCAAATAAATAAATTAAATGTAAATAAAAATTCCTCTGCCCCTCCAAAATATTCTTTGACCTCACTTTTCTCCCCCAGCTCTGCCCTCTTTTTACTTGTGATCATCCACCTTTTTGAACAATTATCAATACTCACTGTGTTGGTTTCAAATTCCAACTTCTCCTCAACCTATCACTTGCGGACTTCTGGCTAAGATCCTCGGTGATTTTTTTCTTTTTCTTAAAAGCCTACAGCACCCGGTATTCCTAGGTGGTCTACCATCCCAGTACTAATCAGACCCGACCCTGTCGGAGATTTCTTAATTGACAATGTCAACCTTGTTTATAAGGATCTAGCACTTGTTTACTTCTCCCTTCTTTGGAAATTATCCTCTGTCTTGGCTTCCTTAACATTACAACTTTCCAATCCTTTCTCTTTACCACTCTTCTTCAATACTCTTTGAAAAACTAAACATATTTTTCCTAATTATTAAAGTAAAATAGGGTCACTTTGGAAAACTTAGAAAATGCTTTCCCAGCCTCTTTCTTCTGGCTCCTTGTAGACTTTTCTTCTTAGACACAGGTGTTTCTCAGGTTTCCACCCTGAGCTCTCTTCTTTTCCCACATGTTCTCCCCTTAGGAATCTTATATTCAAATGATTCTCAAACCTAAATCTCCAGCTCTTACCCTTTTTCTGTCTATAGATTTATCTTTTAAAAAATAAATTTTCATCAAAGCAAGATGTATAGTAATACACATAGTTTAAAAAGCCAAAGAGTATTAGGCTTATAATGGAAAACAGCAGTCTCCTGTCCCATTCCTCCCCCTGCTAAATACCCCATTTTCAAAACTAAATATCCTACATATATGATTTCTTGCTTTATTTAGAGAGTATCTATTGACTTTCTATTATGGGAAATGGCACTTGGATGTACATAGCCATATGTTCCTACTTTTTGTTTCTCCATCCTTCCAACATAGTTATAGTATGATTTTTGGTTAAATCATTATTTATTGTTTATCTAATGACTTTACTAGTACTGATCACTACTGAGACATTTTCTTCCTATATAATTGTTCCATCTAGATTAAGTTACATTAGTTTTAAAATTTACTTAATTTTATATGTCACTATTGCTTAATTCTTCCCAAACTGTCCAACAGAAGTGTAAAATCTGAATACTATTTCTCACAGACACATTGGTTATTACATCACTTCCATTTTCCTAATGGCATCTCTTCTTGAACCCTTTGTCTTCCTGCTCCAGTCACATCTTTGTTCAAAGGAATTTTGTTCTGAGTAGGAGGTACTAACCTTTTAGTTCTCTTCCAATCAGTCTTGGATCCTAGCACCCAAGAGTTCACCTGGGCTAATCTAACAGCTATGTTATTTATGCAATATGTGTCACTAACCTAAAGGGACACACATTCCCTTCAGATGTCTGATACTGACATAATAGTTTAAAATGCTAATTAAAGAGATTTTGCATTTATTTCTTCTTCTTGTCCCAGCTAAAAAGGAAACAAGTTCTTTGGATAGCCCATTAGACATCCTTGGACTTTGTTCTTGATGGCTACCACTGATAAAAATTAAGGACTTAAAAAATTCCCTTGTATTTTCTGTCAATATGCATATTTTAAAGCATTTTAACAGATCCTTTAATTATACAGTAAAAAACTGTCAACAATGACCTAAATTCTAATTTTTCACTGACCTAAACACAAAATATTTGTGGGGGGGCTGAGTCTGCTCTGCTGCTTGACTAAAACCAAAAGACACCATGTTACAAGGCACTTGCACCTATTTGACTCCTGGACCCATTACAGTGACAGAAATACACTAATCTATGATGGAGTACTTAAAACTCCTTTGTTTACAAAGCTAAAGTAAGGAACTGCCATACCATGGTGAGACTCTGCACAGTTGGTTAACCAAGGATGAAGGATAATCAAGAAGCAGGTGAAACAATGAATCTCCCATTACAGCTGTTGCCTCTATCTGTGGACATGTTATCTGTAGCTTGTGTCAGACTTCCGTGCTAATCCTCATTAGAAAAAAGCATCACATAAGGAAAACAGATACACATTTTTAGTTTTTTTCAAAATATGTCAGGTTAGACTCACCAAAACTAAAACATCGAAGAAGATACAATGACCCTTTTGCACCTTAGAAGCCATGGCATCTGAGGTTGTTAGCATGGTTCCCAACACACCTACTTCCCATTTAGCTTATCATTTCAAAGATGGCACATCTCAAATTACTGGTGAATTAACTGAATGATGAATGTTTAAAAAAAGGGGTAATTTCGGACATAAAATTTAGGAAAATGTATGTGAAAAAAAAAAAGATGATTAAAATAATTTTCACGCAGTCTCCTAAAATTTACATGTATCATATTAACCTGTGAACTTTTCTTAAGTATTTATATTATTGGTACAAATAAACAAAATAATTGTATTTTCAAGAAAAACTTATTTAATAATATAAAAAGGTATTAAATACATTTATTAAGAGATAACTTCAGAAGTCTTCTGACTTTGTAATTGAAAAATGAAAACTGTTATGTGCTTTCCATATTAAAAAAACAAAACAATGCCACATATCTGTCATTTCTCATTTCACAACAAGGAAATTCTAGTGTTACTCTACCTAATTCAATTCTGGTTGAACATGAATCTGTATTAATGCTTTTTCCTTAATTTGCTTTCCTAAGAAGAAATGTCAGCCTTCTGATAGAAAATGAAGTACTTATAATCTGGAGCATCTCTCTGTTGCTTGATTTTCAAAGAAAGTTAGCAAAATTTCATTCAGAAAATTTTAGTAAAATACAATTCAAGCTTGGTGTTGTAAACATGCAGGAGAAAGTAAGACTATAAAATGAAATAAAGGCTAGAATTAAAAGTTTGTAAATTATACAAGTGATTAAAAGTTAGACACTCACCTATGATTACGAAAATGAGTCCTTGTATTCAGAGGTCTGTCCCTCTGAATCTTAGAGGAAACATGTGACAACAATAGCCAAAACTTACACAGAAACTTATTTCTCCTTGAGTTTTTGTCCTATAGATGTGAATCACTAAGAAAACATGTATTTCCAAGTTTCAAGAGATAAATAAGGCAAAGAAATCATCTTAGGGGTTTGCTCTGGTTCTCATTTAAGCTTCATGGAGCAACATAGGAGGCTAAAGCAAAAGCAGGTACTACATTATTAACAATGAGTCTAGGTGGCTTAGTGAACAAAATACGTTTCCTTCCTAACCTTCTAAGTTTACCTACAAATCTGAGGGTTTTAATCTGCCTAGGTCCCATGGCAAGAAGGTCAGAAATCATTGTCACTCTCATCTAGGGGCTCAGGTTTTCGGACCCTTCGACTGGACTTAGCTGGTGAGAGAGAAATGCTCTCATCTTCCAAATCATCATCGTCTTCTTCATCGTCTTCCATGTCAATTTCACTGTCCTCTGAGTCTTCCTATAGTAAAAAAACAACAAATACAACTGAGGGTCCCATCTCATTCCTGACACCGTGTTAGTGAGACTCTACCTCACTTTTTATGAGTAACTCAATAACTAGCAATACCCCCATGTGAAAGAAGAGCTTGGCAGAGATGGTCAGGCTGTGGGGACATAAAAATAGACCAATGTCTAGATATTGCTGGCTGGAATACATAGATCAATGTATCATCTAACCGGTACCTTTGAACACCAATGTGTAATCCAAGGTTGGTGCTACAAGGACGGCTTTCCCACTGACATCTCAGGAGCACCAATGGACCTGCACTGAGGCTCACTGAATGCTGCTTTTCTCCTAATGGCCCAAAGACCCATCAGTGGATAGCAAGGAGGGTGAGAACTTAGAGAGAGGGAAGGAAGGCTTATTTTGGCTTTTACCAGACTGGGGATGGAAAGCCACACAGGAAATGGGCATAAGGAGCAAAATAAAAGAAACACTCTTATCCTCTATCCTAGAGATAGAGGAACCAACTCAGCCAGGTTTTAAAATTGCAAATCCTGCATCCCAGGTAAACCAAGAAGATTGGTAACACTATCTAAATCATTCCCACAAGCATACATAAATGCTGCAATTTCCTTCTTCTTAAAAAAAAACCAAAAACCAAAAAACAAAAAACCCAAAACTTAATCCCACCTTCCTCTCCAGCTACCCTGCCCTGTTTCTTCATTCCCCTCACAACAAAACTCCTTGAATGAGTTTTGAACTCACTGTCCCCACTTGTTCCCCTCTCACTGACTCTTTAGCATGACTTTTCTAGTCAGGCTCACACACTACAATCCCCCTCAACTGTTCTTGTCATGACTGAAACATTCAGTGGATTCAAACACAATGGGTAATTGCCCATCCTTCTGTTTGATCTATGGGCTCCTTTTTCCCTGGCATCCACTCTTCTGTCTTCCAGGACTCTTTTCTTTCTGGGGGGCTCACTCCACCTCACTCCAGGGTCTTTTGTCTCACTTGCCCAACTCTCTTCATTTCCTTGGCCTCTGCAGTGTGGGGTCAGCTTGAAGCCTTGGGTTTCCTCTCTTATCTTTTTCTACAAGCAATCACACGTATACTCGCACTTAAAGACCACCTAGATATGGATGTCTCCCCTAATTCAATCTCCAATCTAGACCTGATCCTTGAACTCCAGACCTGAATTTCAACTGGCTACTCAGCACCAGCATGTGGACATCTAGCAGGCGACTCACACTTAGAACATCCAAAACCAAACTCTCAGTCTGCTCTCCAAGCCCCTTCTTCAGGTCTGCCCCAGCTTAGGAAATGAAAACTGTGCTTTCAGCTGATTATGCCACAACATAGGCATTCTTCATTCTCTTTAATACTCCATGTCCAATTAATAAAACCTGATTGTTCTCACCTTAGAAACATATTCAGAATCTAACCAATTCTCAACACCTCTGCTGCCACCACCCAAGGCTAAGCCACCACCACCATCACCTCTGAACTAGACTATTGCAAATGCCCCTATGGGGCTCTCTTAAATACAGGTCAGCTCTCGGCACTCCTGGGTTCAGGATTTTCCAGCACCTTCCCACTGTACTCAGGGAAAATGTTGAGTCCCTGTCACATCCTATAAAGCTCTACACAGCCCCTACTGCCTCTCCTGCTGCTCCTTCCCTCAGTTCACTCCATCTAGTCACACTGTTGCCTCTGGTTCTCACATGTAGAAACCACATCCCCTGTGACCAAGATGCCCCTGCACAGCACCATGTCCCTCATCACATTCAGGCCTCTGCCCTGCACAGCACCATGTCCCTCCTCACATTCAGGCCTCTGCCTAAATGTCACCTTATCAGAGAGACCTTTCCTGACCAATCAAAAACATCCCTCATCCCTGCCACTGTTTCTGAACCTGCTTTATTTTTCTTCTTACCACTATGACCCCTATATCTGCTTCACTACTGTTGGACGGTAAGCCTCATGAAGGCAGGGGCCTTGTTTCTATTCACAGCTATATTCCTCACAATCTGTAACAGCACCAGGCACATAACAGGCACTCAATAAATATCTGTCACATGAGTGAGAGAAGACATGAAGGACAAACCCCCACGCCTAGGAGGGGTACATGGAAACAGCTTCCCTGAAATAAACAAGTGACAACAGGCACAGAGGAGACTTAATCTACAATAAGGCATTTGTTTCAGAAGGTAGAAAGCCATACAAATGATCAAGCAAATCATATGAGGCCAGGAAGTGCTCTCCAGGCATCACCACCTGCAACACCAGACTTTCCCTATTTCTGTCTTGGATGGGTAAGATGAATGGATAGAAGCTGTTCAACCAGCCATTTCCTACCTTGTTAAACATTTTTGAAGTGGGTTCTCATGGTTCTCTAAAGACCATTTGCTATGTATTCAATGCTCTATCTTCTCTGTGCACCTTGCCCAGTAAACCTGAGTGACTTTTCCCTCCTGTGAATTTCTGTGACAGTACATACTGCTGGTACTAAATAGACCTTTTTATAAGAACATAAGGCCCATGCTTCTGTCTCTGTGCAGCCACACTCCAGACACATGGTGGCATTCAACCTGATGGGGAGGTCTGTGATGTGTCAGTCTAGTCACCCTTTGCCTCTTGGGACTCACAGCACTGCCAAGGACTACAACAATGAAGGAAGGCCTAAGAGTGATGGACGTTGTAGCCCCAACAGCTGGACCCCCAGCAAGTACCCCTTGTCTTCTCATTCTGATTCATTTCCTAGTCAGTTATCCACTCAATAATGCTCAAGGTACCCATAGCTTCTTGCCCAATCTCTCTGAAGCACTGGTCTCGGGAGAGCCTCCTTTTCATGTTCCCTTCCTAGAATGGAGCTGAAGAGAGGGATGGTCTTTACCCAGGGCCCTCAGCAGCATCTCTTTCTTTTTAGGTTATGGTTCAAGGGCAAGAGGACTCCCCACACAACCTTTCCTGTCTCTTGGCTCAGTGCTTGCTCCTCCTCAACATAGAGATCTTTAGGTAATTTCAATATTCACCATGGGACTCATTTTGAGTGGCTTTTTGCCCAGGAGACAAAGGCATCACTCTTGGGGAAAGCTCTCTGCTGGCCCTGAGTGGGTCGACACACACACACAAATGGATGAGGTGAAAAAGAAAACCAACCTGCTTCCTGGAGCTGGAAGTCTTGCATTTACCTAACAGAGCTGGTGCTGCTTCCATCTTTGGAAAGCGAGAGTGGAAAGAATGTGAGAAGGAAAAACAAAAGTAGGGCAAGCAGGTTCACTTGAAAAGAAATGCACCACCAACACGCAAAGAGAGTCTAGCTCCTTGGGAGACCAAACTCTGCCACAAACCCAGTGACAGGCCGGGCTGAGAAGCCACACCTCACACAAGCCAGTTAGACATGCTTAGCTCCTGGCTAATCCAGTCTGTGAGGCCAGACCAGAAAGAACATAACTACAAGAGAGGGATGGTCAGGACTCACATCGTCATCGGAGTCTCCACCTTGCATTGTACCCACGATGCGTTTAGTAGGTCTTCCTGTGGAGAACAAAAACATGAAGAAATTACAAAAACCTTGTAAAATAAAGTATGAAATGGTATTCAAGATTTGCTTTTCTTAGGAAACTGGGGGAAAAAAGAATCGTAAAAATTTACTCAAGTAGCATCGAACTAATCAGAACTGTCAACAAATGGTAATGAATTTTCTACATTTCCTGCAAACTGAAAAAAGAAAAAGGGCAGTAAAATGTAAGCATGAATCATAAACCAGAAAAATAAAGATGCATCCTACAAATATTTTAGGGAAAAATCACTGAATCCTATTATTAGTTTATATGCAGTGGAACAGGAATACTATCTGTCGAAAAAAGAAATATAATCTCCCTTTAGGGACTAATGTCATCTGTACTTGGATCTACATCTGAGCTTCAAAAGGAAAAAAGTTTAAGTATCATAATTAGTTATCTTTCAAAACACCATCATTATCTGAATGGATTCTCCACTCTTCCTTTGGAGGTTAATGTTGTCTAGATATGACTTCTACAAAAACTCGGGAGGCAAAGAACTGCTCTCATACCCAAAGGGTGAGAAAGGAAGACCCGTGACCTCTAGAGGAAGGCGGGGAAGGCAGCTCAGGGAGGAGCTCACTCAGGACAGGTCTGGATGTGACCACCAAGAGCTATTTACAGAAGATATCTCTTGGTCTGATAAAATGCAAATCTTGTACTGTTTCACTTCTGCAGTGGACAGTAGTAGAATTTAGGTGCACCAGTGCCTTTACTAGGTTCTACTGATCCAATCATAAACCTTTTTAGAGCCTTGGTTCTCATATGTAGAATGGGAATCATAATCCTTTTTCTATGAAAAAAGCAAAATGTAATAAAGACAGCTGGGCCTAGAATAAAAGAAAGCAGTTAACAACAAAATATAAAATAACCAGGAAAATGATTTGCCATTTAAATTTATTATGTATATAAAATGCAACTGTGCTCTAAAAACTAACAAATGATAGATAAGAAATGCTTTTAAAGGCAAATTTAGTAGGATCTATCAAAATTAAAATTTATATAACCTTTGATCTAAGAATTCCACTTTTAATGATACAACCTAAAGAAATACTTGCAGATATGAAGAAAGATGGATATACAAGAAGAGTAGAAATACCTTAAATATCAATATGGGAATGCCCATGTAATTCATAGGTACAGCCATATTATGGAATACTGTGTGGCTGTCAAAAAGAATGAAGCAGATCTATATTTTACTGACAAAGGAGGAATTCTAATACATTAAAAAAAAAAAAAAACAAAAAACAGATCGCAGAACCATATATATAGTCTGGTCCTGTTCAGGTTAAAAAATGTTTCAGGTGGTATCTGTGTCCACATTTGTGTGTGTGAGTGTGCATGAGAGAGAGAGAGAGAGAGAGAGAAAGAGAGAGAGAGAGAGAAAGAGAGAAAGAGAGAGAAAGAGAGAGTGAGAGAGAGA